TATATAAGACCACTGATGTCAAAAGTTAAGAAAAGATTTACACAAAGAACGAATCATTCTTTGAAAGTTACCAGGACTGAGAAGGGAAGGAAAGGTATAGCACTAAGTAGAGAGGTAAAGGGAAGCCAATATACAGTAAGATGAGGTCAGCACAAAATGATCGAGGCAGTGAAAGACATAGGCAGCAGCACAAGAGTTAAAAATAGCAGAGGTAAATAGTATTACATACACAATCCTGCAATAACAATAATCTATGAGTAGATGCATTAATAGACATTCAGGTTGAACAGGGTGGGAAGGCAAATGAGACTACATCCGTGAATATATCTAAGTGTGATAGAGGATATTTCCACCTATATATTTATTCATGTTGCAAATATACCCATGAATGTAGTAGAGCATATGGGAGACAAAGTTATGACAACTTTTTAGTCATAACCAAATACTTGAGAGAATGAGCTTCTGGATATGGGGCCTCAGGGCCATAGTTTCAAGGGACACTAAATTCAATTGGCATAACATAATCCACAAAGGCAATACTCTGCATCCTTATTTGTTGAACAATGATTGAAGTCATAAAAACTTCTGAGAGGCCATCTCAGGTGTAAGTATTGGTCTCTCCCCAGCTGGAGCAAAGAACAGTAAAGAAAATCAAAGATACAAGGAAACATCTAGTCAAAGGACTAGTGTACCACATAACTCCCCACCTCCATGACCATGAGAAGAGAAGAAATGGATGGTGCCTAGCTACTAGTGCTGACCAGTCAGATAGATTTCATAATAGGAGATCCTAGATAAAGTGCGAGAAAAATATGGAATCAAACTCAGTATGATTTTAAAAAAAGAAAATATGATTTTAAAAAAGGAAAAGACTAGGTTTGTTTGTCTGATGAAAACTGGTGGAACTTGGATATTATGGCCCTTAGAAACCCTTCAACCCGGGAAATGAACTTAACCCTTGTGGTTCAACTTTCAGCCAAGTTATAGATAGGTTTATAAGGTGAACAGTTACACCAGGAGGCTATACATTCATTAGAAAAACAAACACAAAATATCAAAAAAGCACCATTGGCCCAGGAGTAGAGATAGGAATGTGAGAAAGGATGGCAAGGAAGTATGAAGGGAAGTGGTGGGATCTGAGAGGAATTGGGAAGAGAGCTACTGCATTGTTGAGATTTCAGTGAATGTCACAGAAGTCAATGTGGCGTGGATTGTTGGATGGAAACCCATTTTGCTCTGTACACTTTCTCCCTAATCACAATAAAAATTCTTTTTTAAACAAATACAATGGTGCACTCACAAATAAATCATGAATGTAAGTTCCCCAAAGCTTAGGGCCTCAATCAACATATTCAGAGGAAATGGATTTGACAATAGTGCCTGCTATTTCACTTTGCTCTTCTTAAATTGAAATGTCAGAATGCAGCATCTAATCTAAGACCCCCAGGTGCTATGCCTGTATTCTAGCTATAAGAGAGATAGAGAAAGTGAATTATTTGTTTTTTGCTTTAGGAGATTATAACAGCAACACGGAAATTCCCATAATTTATGATGCTGTTCAATATTGCCAGATAATGGCAACACATGTTAAACATGAATAGAAAACGAGTCAGGTTTATATTAATTACACAAATGTAAAATTATAGGGTAAG